ACCCCCCCAGCCACCACCGTAGGGCTGCTGTTGCCCCTGGGGGGGCATGGGCCCTGCACCCCCCCATGCTCCCTGCTGCTGTCCAGGCCCCCAGGCAGGTGGTCCCTGAGCCCTGGTGAACGCCTGCATTATTTCCCTCAACATGTTCAGTTCATGTGTGTGCTGCTGTTGCTGCAGTTTCAACTGCACCCTCTGGTCCTCCTTGGCGGAGGACAGTGGAAGTGCCTTCGCAAAGGCCTCCAGTGCCACCTCCATCCGGTTCTTCTTTCGTTTGGTGTCAACCTTGGTGACCCTGCCACCTGTAGAATTTCAGAGAAAATTGAAGCTCATTAGTTCACCATTTATTTTCCCACCTTGATACTGAAATAAAAGCATCAGCGAATTTGGAATTAGAATCATTTTGAAGGAAATTTATTGGTCAATAAGATTAAAAGTTAAACCCACCTCCACCACGTCCAGCTGCCCCCCTGCCACCACGTGCTCCTCCCCTAGCCCTGCCACCACGTGAAGTCCCTCTACCTCTCTCCCTCAGTTCTGCTGCAAACAGAGGACAGTCACATTTTGATTATAATAATGGTAACAGTCGCCATTTTTCCTTTACATATTATGTATTTTGTAAGTATACATACTATCATTAGATGTTAACCCTTTGGCTTGCAATTGTTTCATGCTATTCTTTATTTTAGTAAACAATTCAATGCATATTGCATATGTTACCCACAGACACAGTTGAGACAGTATGCACAACACTTTATTATTTTTGCATAGTAATTGGTTTCATGATCATTACCGTTGTCACCACTGGATGTAGAGGGTGTAGGTCGATCCTCCATCTCTTCCTCCTCTTCCTGGCCGACATCCTCAGATGATCTCCGGGCTGTTGGGCTGCCAGGTGGGGTGATGTCGGAGTCTGCGTCTGACTGATCTGTTTGGTACAAATAATAATGGTGTATGTGTGACAATTACCATTTTTCCTTTATATATTTATGTATTTTGTAAGTATGCATACTTTTTGTTATTCAATTATGCAGCAGTATATATCAAAACATTGGTTTATACTAACAATAACAAACTAGCAGAAGTGACAATGAGCTATACCTGTCTGCCATAGCTAATGTACATGACAATAGGTTGACTACAGATGCAACATTCAAACTTGACAGGTAACTTTCCAAGTCCACTATTGAAAGTGAAAGTCAATTTAAAAGAATTAATTCTGTACTTACAACATTTGCAAACATGGATACATTGTACGGAAAATTTTGTCACATTAGTAGTAAAGTTAAAAAAAATTTCTGTACTTAAAATATTTGCAAACATGGATACATTGTACGAAGTGACAATGAGCTATACCTGTCTGCCATAGCTAATTTACATGACAATAGCTTGACTACAGATGCAACATTCTTGTCAGGTAACTTTCGAAGTCTACTACTGAAAATGAAATGAAAATTTAAAAAAAAAACATTTGCAAACAGATCTATATTGTGCGATTTTTAAAATGTTTCCGTACCTCCATTGTTGACGCTTTCACTGAGCCCGCTGTTCAGTGAATTGTCAGCTTCGCTGGAGCTGTCAAATTCATCGGCAGACTCCTCGGCGTCATCTTGGCGGGCCGGGGCGGCGCTGTCCCTGATCACCGCAGGTCTGGAGCTGGGCCGATCGCGGAGGAACGCATCCATCTCGTTGTAGAACGGGCAGGTGATGCGATCCCTCCCGCTCCTTGAGTTGTGGTCTCTCGTGGTTCTATACTTTTGCTTCAAGGCCTTGGTCTTGGAGCGGCACTGGGCGGCCGTCCGGTTGAACCCCCGTTCAACCATGGCCTTGGCAATCTCCTCGAAAACTTCGATATTTCGGTGCATACCGTCCAGTTTCCGCTGGATCTCCCCAGCTCCCCAGATCGATATCAGGGCTCCCGTTTCCTCAGTCGACCAGTTGGACGTCGAGTTGGACGGCATAGCGAAATCTTGCGTTGAGAAAAGCGACCAAAAAGAAAATATACCGACAGTTCAAACTTTCACTTCGCGCGCTACAAAATCCACGCCGCGAACTATGACCTCACCTACCCGGAGTACCCGGATGTGCACCGAATCGATTCGCACCCGCGCGTTCATGATTGCAATTGGACAACGCGAAACATTTCTGTACCGCTTCAGACCACCTCGCGAGGCGGTTCAGAATAATTCGCAACGGAACCGGTTTGGAGCGTTCATGTTCAGAGATATATCGATTTATTTCTTTGATTCGATTTGATTCGGTACAGATTTTCAATCATGAACAGGGCCTGAGTGACCGGGTGACTGAATGAGTGACTGATTGAGGGAGTGATTGAGTAACTGAATGAGTTAGTGTTCAGTGGTTCAGTGAGTGAGTGGTTCAGTGAGTGAGTGAATGGAAGAGTGAGTCTGACTGAGTGAGTGATTCAGCGAGTTGGTGACTAAATGAGTTAGTGAGTAAGTTAGTGAGTAGGTGAGTGAGTGAGTTAGTGAGTGAGTGAGTGAGTGAGTGAGTGACAGAGATAGTAGCTCAGGTTACTCCCTACCAGATCGATTTTCACCAGATCCAACCCTTACATATACATACATCAGATCATATCAGGAAATTCGCTCGTCATATCGGAGTGTAAACCATTTCAAAACGATGATTGTCTTTACTTTTTTTTTGTACAGTTTTGACCAACGTCTAAAACGCTACACAGGCCAAACCATAGACATCGTGCTGCCGGGAGATGTAACCGTATACGATATCAAATGGCTCAGTATGTGGTGCATCCGCTTCACCGCCAACTTCGGGGAGGTCTTCATCCCAAGCCCAGCAGACCTGAACGTTCCACCGTTCGTTCGAGACATCGTTGCACCTCCGCAGGTAAGGATAGGATGATAACTTTTGCAACAACATAAAAATTCTCACAACGTCTGTCCTTTATGTCATAAATGAGGGAGGAAGAGGGAAGGAGAGGGAAAGTAACGAATCAGCAATGACACACATTCGAGAGGATTTCATGGAGAGCTTTTAGAACCAAAGACTGCACTAAGGTTGAAATCAATTTTATTTGATTTGGCAAAATCACCTGGATAATGTTTTTAGTAGAATTGTAACTGGAGAAAATCATGAGATTCTGGAAGCTATGTGGTGTCTTGCCGCAGCTCTCACCAAATGCCCTTCTATTCAGTAAAAGAAAGCATATTGCTTTCAAATTTGTTCTTCTGTATACAGATATTGTCAATGACCTGTACTAGACGTCTGTCAACAAGGTAGGAGTAGGTAGTGCTGTAGCAGACACCCTTTGGTGTTGGGTTACATTATATAACAGGACAGAGTTACAGGAGCTGGTCACCGCATACGTTTAGTAAATGGATGTGTTTGAGTACGAATGAGCAGATCAGTAGTTTGTTGGGCTAGACGTCGATCATGTTTAGGTAAACATTATACATTTACTTTGCAAATGTTGCCGTAGGAGCTTGGAAACTGTGAGGAGCTGCATGACGACCTACAGGTCAGCTGGGAACTAAACGGCGGAAACCTAGATCTGCAGCTGGCCGGGCGGGTAGCGGACGGAGAATACATGGCGTTCGGTATCAGTGGCTGTGCCGACCAGACCTGCATGGTGGGCTCGGATGTGCACGATGGTCAAATCGGGTCGAATTTTTCCTAACACGCTGCTCATGAATATTCACTGTCAATCATTCATTTAGCCATTGACAACAGTAGCTGATTGGTTCGCAGGTTTGCAGGCGGGGACAAGAAATGTTTTGATCGCTCCTCGCCCAGCAAGATTTTCCCGCGAGCTTGTCTTTTGATATGCGTGCCTCGTCTCCGCCCCTATTGTTCTTCGCTTCGCACGTTTTAACAATGCCCCGGCCTTCATCTGTGTCTTCAATTTTACCTCTAGGGTTACTGTAATTCCTGATTTGTTAAATGTCAGTTAATTTTAGGACTTAAGCAGTCACTATTCCATCGCTATTAAAGATTTCACCGCAAGTGTTTGATCTTTCCACCCCCTCCCCGAATCTTGCTGGACTATACAAGCTCGTTACGTTAACGTTACGATCGCAAATCACGCCTCACAAGTTCTTGACTACAACTTGAACACAACGTACACGTAATTCGTACAGTAACAAACAATACACTGGTGGTCATCAAAAAATAAAATTTATTGTACAAAAAGTATTTGTTTTTGTACAAATGCCGTGCATAAACATACCGCAAGCAGGAAAAAGCACTAGCATGAAGCAATGGCGTCACTGCTACGCTTTGAACTTTCACGGCTTGTTTACACTATGGCTTTTATGAATATTAGCTCATAATTACGGCTTAGAAGATATCTATAAATCTACAGACACAGCAAGGCGTTCATCTTGTGCAACTAGGAGACAATATCGAAAAAAATGAGACTTACTAAAGCCAGCGTCATCCAATTCCAAGCGTCCAGAAAAGAAACAAAATGGCCGCCCGGAAACACATACTCATGAAGTTACACTTACAGCTTTACAAACGACTTACGGCTACGAGAAATGCGACATAAATTTGTTATATTCCGGGGTAAAGGTTCAGTCGAAAGTTTAGTGGCATGTGTACTTCAAAATGTAAAGCGTTAGTGTGCTACGACTGTAAGACGGAACGGAAATTCGGAAACATGTACAAATAATTTGCAGGCATAGTCAAAGAAAGGAACAAAATGCCGCCACAATTTTGAAAGCATTCGAGTCAACATTTGCGCAAAAAATACGATCAAACGTTAGAATCGAAAGCTATGGTGTCTGTATGTCTTTCTTGATTGCGTCCTGGATGGTATTTACCCCTATCCAAGGGCGGGCGATGACGCCGGGCTTGGCTGTAAGCTGGTCCACGGGCGCCCCAAAATTGAAAAACTTGGCGTGCATGCAGGGGCTTGCTGGTACCCTGGAATCCAAACTCGCTGTCCGGGCGGCAAAAGCCCTTCGCCCGCTGGTGTAAATTACCGCTACGGGGGAGTCTAGCCCGGGGGGAGTTTGGCTGGCCATCGGGCTCAACTCCCCCGTAGCGGTAATTTAGGCAGGCGGGCGAAGGGCTCTCGGCTGCCGAAGGAAAAAGGCTAACGGCCCGATACTAGTTTGGCATCCAGGGTAGCTTGCTGGCGACGGCACGCGGTGCGTGACACTATTAGTATTACGGACTTTTTGCCCATGAAGTCCCAATTTATTTTGGATTTATATTTGGTCTTGCCCGTAAACTGTCGACATTTTCTTTTTTGTTTTCATGTATTTTTAATGCTGTTGTTGTTCTTGTCCTTGCTTATCGTCTATCGTTTTTTTAAAATGCACTAGCCGTGTTCGCTAAAATCTAGTGCCGTGAGCTTGCCCATAATTTTTCCCCAACCGCGATACTTGAGTAATTTCTAAACCGCGATACTAGCAACATCGTTTCAATCCCTTCTACGACGTCAAGATTTTTAGACCGCCCAAAACCCACAACCTTCTGGTCGGAACAGATTTTTGGTCAATTCTCACTTTTAAAACTGCCGCGCCTCTCGATCTCAAGCTTGGAAAACAATAGCGGTCCGGACAGGATTTGCATGTAACTGCACTCGAGAACAATAAAGCCCGATAATCAGTCTCTTTGAGGGACGCCGGCGTAGCTGATTATAGCTGAAAACAAAGTCTTACTTCCACGTGAAAGCTCTGAGTAAAGAGTACATGTAATATTTTGGCCTATAACTTTTGATCTAATAAGGATTTTTTGACGAAAACACCAAAAATCGAAAGGGCGCAGTCCCGCCGCCATCTTGATGACGCGTTCTTGTTGTTCTATGGAGGCCCACGGGAATTATACCCCAATCTAGGCCGAAATCTACCCCGAAATTTACGTAAATGATCTTAGATTTCGCAGACATCGAGTTTACTACCATAGAATTAAAAAATTATTGGTGAGATTATAGATTAGGACTTCAACTAATGTTTAGTGCGTAAATTGGAAAAAAATCCTTATTAGAAAGGTCACAAGGTTCAAAGTTCAATTGCTAAAAGTTGCCGGAACTAAACACTAGCGTAAGAAGGACTTTTTGAACGCTGTAATTTGCTGTCACGTTTTTACTTCTTCTTATTTACAAAGTCAACCTGTCTTCTTTTTGATTCTTACTGTAGTTTCTCGACATGATATTCCGATCATGCGTTATTTTGAGAGATATTTGCAGTGTTTGTTTGTGTAAGTGCCTGGGTACAGGCGAGCGGGAGACACCCCGCGGTGAGTGGGAGGCGCACTTAGCCTTAGCAACGCGGACAAAAGGCTAGCAACCGGACCATCGTGGTGACCGTGACCTGGTACGACGTGGACACACCGAGAGCAGTGGACTACACTCTGGGCGCGTATTCACAGGTAGGAAACCACGTAGCTGTGTGCACATAAAATGGTTTATGATGCTGCCTCTAGGCGAAGTCGCGAGTTCGAAAATTGGCTCTTGTCGCAACGCCTACCGTTACTTAAAAAAAGTCGCAGTCCTTTGGACGGGGCATTAAGTCGTAGTCCATTCTTCATGGTACCTGTCAAAAAGAGATGAAAATCTATCCATTTTAAGCCATACAAGAAGCAAGTGTTCAAGAAATTGTAGGAAATTAGAAACGCCTTTTCCGTTTAATGATTTAAATTAGGACGACAAAAATAAAGAGGGGTCAAAAGCGTTGCGCGACCATGGTACGTTTGCAACACTGAGGGCATCCTTGGCATAGCCGTGCATGTCCTGCAAAATTCAATTGTTATCGAATAGTCCGTTTAAGGTCCTTGTCACTGGTTGGGTGTGCCATAGCCTGCTTGAAAGAAAAAAATTGAGATTATTTCACAGAATATTGTGATTGTTTGAAAGGATCTTGAGAATCCAGAAAATCATGAGATTTTTTGGAAACATCTTGAGATTCTGATTTTTGGTTTTCAACGATGCGTGACGAGGTCATATATCTGTACATATATCAAAATATCAGCTATGGAATTACAAGCTAAAACGGTTGTAATTAGACATATTTGCCCAAAGTTCTCTGGTTCTCCCAATGTAATCCTGACGCTATTTGTTGTGGATTGTTATTGGGTCTTCACAGTGCAGCGGTCGGTCCGGCGTGTGTCCAGACGACAGAGTAGACGGCACGGAGGACAACTTCAACGTCACCGGTACAAGGATAGACGGCGTCACGAGGATCAGGTATTCTCGTCCAATCAACACTGGCGACACAGCCGACAATGTCATTGACCCTGCACAAAACATGTTCATCTCCTGGGCCATAGGACCCATCAATCCGAGTGGTCTAGCCGCCAAGCACCACACAAGAGCTGATGGTAAGGGTGTCGTTTAACTTTATTTTGTTTAATGCGATATTGTGTATTCATGCGTATATGTGCGTGTTTGTTCGTGTACATGTGTGTGTGTGTGTGTGTGTGTGTATGCCTATGTCTATGCGTGTGTTCATATCATACGTTTGCTTGTTTGTATGTATGTGTGTGCTTGACTGTGTGTGTGTGCGTTTTTGTGTGTTGTGTGTGTTTGTTCATATCAAACGTTTACAAGTTTAATGAAACAAAGGCTCTCACCGGCAGTGATCAGGTGATCGTTTTCCTTCTGACAAAGTCCAATCGTCCGGAAATGGAGTGAGTTCTAAGATATCCGGAAAACTGTATCTGCCCCCGTCCCGGTTCAGAGTGGGTTGATGGAATCTTATGCAAATGGCCTCCATCCCAGCACTAACGATGTTTATGGTTACAGTAGATAATCTTAACTTTGTCTGCTTCCTTATGAGAACAGGAAACGTTCAACTTCAGTTTGGGCGCAGCCTCTCCTACGCGTGTGGTATGATAGGCGGCGGGACTCCTGCCCCGGTCACACCATGGCCTGCCAACACCATCCCTGATAACGTCACCACATTCACCGCCCGCATCGGGCCTGCAGGAGGCGTCAGGGGCTATGAGGGTATCACAGGTACGTACAAGAGATACGGTATCTTTTAAGCATGCTAAAGAACTTGCTCACTTCGCTCAGATGAAAATGAGTATTGTCCTGTCATGTATTTGTCCCCTGTGTTGGTGGCGACATTAATATAAGTTGATAAAACTTGAGTGTGCCGTCCCCACGTCTGGTGATTACATGTTGGAATTTTAGAAAAAATGCTACACACATGTTACGACATCCGCTGTACACATGTGGGACATTCCGGTGTAGCTGTAACAACCTTCACTGTTGGTATGTATATTATTTCGGTGTAGCTGTAACGACCTCCGCTGTACACAACGTAGCTCATTCAATTCTGGTGTAGCTGAAACGACCTCCGCTGTGCCATTGCACCACATGCAGGCCATTCTGGTGTAGCTGTAGCGACCTCCGCTGTGCACGTAGGTCATTCTGGTATAGCAGTAACGACCTCCATTGTGCACATGTAGGCCATTCTGGCATAGCTGTAATGACCTCTGCTCTGCACATGTAGGTCATTCCGGTGTAGCTTTGTCAACCTTCGTTGTACACATGTAGGTCATTCCGGTGTAGCTTTAACGACCTCCACTGTACACATGTAGGTCAGCCAGGCTGGGGGATCGCGTGGTATATCAATGGTCTGCTTATCCCAGAGCTGCATGTAAAGAGACGTCAGAACTACACTTTTATAGTGGAGGGAGGAGACGACGCTTCCCTACCTGCTAGGTACCACCCATTCTACATAACAGATGATCCAAAAGGAGGTTACATACAGAAAACCGCTGCAGAGAAACAGGTACAATTTCTGAAAATAATGAGTCAATCGTCTTACACAAAATAAGTCTACGTCTTAACAATTTCGTATATTACTGAGAACGTTACGTTCCTCGACGCATGATACAGTCAAGGTCTTCCAGCTTACTCTGTCGAAAACCAGCCTGATATCAAATTGAAACAAAATCCAAAATGCTGTAGTGAACGATAACAGCATAATTTTCTTCTTCTCAAAACACACAAGGTCAATGACCTGGACCAGTCGTTTGTCACCAGTTCAGTTTATTTCGCACTTTAAAACAAAATGTAACAATACAAATGCAAGAAAATATAGATGAAATGTAACAGTGCAGGGAGGCCGGAAGCATAAAATGCTTATGAGGAGGCCTCCCTTCATAACGTGATTAACAACTCAAATAATTCGGATAAATAAGAAATAACTTATAAAATATATATATAATTAGGTAACGGGTAAATGAAACAAAACCATAAAATACAATGAAAGTAGTAAACAAGGAAACATAAACAAAAATTAGGAATGTGTGGGGTTATTTATGAAAGCTACTTTAGTATGATTTTTGAAAATGGTGAAGGAGGGACTAATTTGTAAAGTTCTACTTAGGTTGTTCTAAATTGTTGGGCCCCTGTGCGTGATTTTAAATTGACGTAGATTACGGTGGTAACTGATGCCGTAGCAGATACCCTGTGGTGTTGAGTTGTGTAGCAATTTGCAGGACAGAATTGGAAAGACAGCCCACTTTTGTACGATTCATACGGCGAGCACATGTGTACTACTAATGTGACTAGGCGCTAGTAACAATTAATGATATTTTGCCCCGCATGTTGGAATTTGTAACTTAAGAATATGTTTGTTACCTGCACACAAAGGAAGTTGCAGTGTTTGCAGGTGTTGATGAGGAGGGGAACCCAACAGCAGGTATCTCTCTCTTCCTGTTTATTTATAAATCATATAATTTCATTGCGGTGAAGTATGTGGAAAGCAGCTTTATATTTCTTGATAAATATCAGTGTACGTTTGTAGCAAGTCATTTTGAAGTTTAAACTGCAATTTCCAACACAAGAAATTAGACACAGGGCAATTGGTCGTAATGCCCTGTCTACATCAGGCAACAATCCCAACCAATGCGCCACAGACTTTCGGCAACCTGGTTACTGCTCACCTAGTCATGTGTGTCATCTGCATAACGTAACGTCACAAAAGTACTTGATTGCTTTTTTTCTTGATAGTCGAAAATCTGGGTTTGTCCAATTTCTTTTGTTGAAAATTACGGTTTGAACTTGTTTCATACTGGGATGCGTGTGTTATCCATATCCAAGATCCTGCATCCCTATATACATGTGTATGAAATATAATATATAGAGAGATGGAGACTTCTCTTTTTGGCCTGTATGTTTTGCTAGGGACCATTATCTCTAATTCGTTCCAAAAACGTTACTAAAAAAACTGGATATGACTTATAACAATTGGAAGCAGGTTTCAGGTTTATGAGTACGAGCTGTTGATTGATATGCAAATAATGAAGACACATTGTTTGAAATTCCAAACTATCTTATAATGACGTATCTTGTTACCTAGATGCATAACCTTACTATCTCAGTATCTAATTGTTTTCTTGTTGTTCCCATAAGCCGGGCGTTATTGTGAGTACACAGCTCCAGGCGGTGACACACCGGAGGCATCGGAGACGTTTGCCGAGTACTTCCGCCGGCTGAACCTGACGTGTGAGCCCGGTCTGCCCGCTCGCCTCTACTGGACACCTGACGACAACACGCCGGACCTGGTGTACTATCAGGTGGGTGCCGCTTTCGAATGCTTAGTTCACATTATTTTTATTATACACAGTTTGCAAAGGTACCGAAGTAACGGGTTCCTCCCTGGGCACCCAGTGCGGAACTCGCGAAGAAAATGGCGTCGGCACTCGGGGCCCTGTGCGGTGCGAAGCTCCGCACTGGAGTTCTACCGCTGAACGGCCAGTTATCGAGTGCTGAAGACCCGTCAGGACTGGAGTTCAAGAGCTGAACCTTGTCTCGGGTAGTAGAACCTGATTCCTTATTTTCATGTCAATGACGTTTACTAACCTTTGGCCCGGAACTGTAAATTTGTCGAGTGTAACGTATTTCTTAAATAACATTACCTCTGCGTGTCAACTTATGTAATGACAGCTAAGCGTAACGTAAGGTGGCTGTCAGCACTCGATTTTCAGTGCAGAGTTTGCACTTATCTTTGGTAGAGCCCTTTTTAAATTTTTTATTCGAGCAAGGACTTCAGTAATATCTAATAATAGTTTGTATATCATGACTAGTATTCCCACGCGAGAACCTTAGACTGCTCGGACACTGACATAATTAGAACGAACACCAGGAATGCGTGTTGCTAGTACGCTTGCAAGGAACTTAGGTAGTTTTCTGTTATCACAATAAAGAATCTTTACAGAAATTATGAAGTATCGTCGTCTTCAATGTTATTCTGCTATTCTCAATATCAAGACTGCTAAGTCCCCCCCCCCCCTTTTCGAGCACGATGGTATCGACCAATGGCAATGACGTTTACTTACCTTTGGCCCGGAACTGTAAAAGTTACCGCTCGGGTTCCTCGAAAATCATCTAACGCACTTAGTAGCGTGGAAAAATAGCCAGAAGGTAACTTATGTAATTCCAAAAATACGTCCGTAAATGACAGCGCAGCGTAACGGAAGCTGGCTGTCAGCACTCGGGTTTCAGTGCGGATTTTGCATCGTCACTGGTGATCCAGTATGGGATATTTGTCGTCACTGGTTTTCCACCGCGTAAGGTACTCATAGACCTCGGGTTCTAGTGCCGATTCTGAGATTTTCGAGTGCTGAAGCCGCCACACCACTGGACACCAAGTGTTGACATAGCTTCGGCACTGGAGTTCTAGGCCGGAAGCCGCCACACCACTGAACTCCCAGTGCTGAGAAAGGAACCCGTTACTTCGGTACTTTTGCACACCGTTTGCCGTTCGGATAGGCCATACTCTGAGGAAAGAACCATCCAGCATCGCACACTAGGTTCTAACATGAAAACCACAGAAAAGAAGAAAGAGGTGCCGGCCTAGAAATAGTTGGAGAAGAAACAAGGAAGAGGAGATGAGGAGAGTAGCCAGCAGATGGGTTGACCTGAGGAAGACAGCTCAGAGAAGTGCAGTGGAGATCTGTCGTCGGTCACCGTCGGTGGCCTATGCTCCGACCGGAGCGAAGGGCCTATTAAGTGAGGTGAAGTGTAGCACCAAGCTAATCTCAGAAGGCCAGGGGATACATTTCGATACTAACGTGGTATCCAATATATCGCGGTTGGGGTGGATTTTCTTCCGGGCTGCTGAAGCTCTTCCCCGCCCGCCTCATTTAGATTCCCCGGTAGGTTTTCACAGTGGCCATAGGGGTTTGATTATTGTGGTGGAGCTAATCAACTCCCGGCGTTCAAAACTCTATCATAGGAGTAAAATTCCTACCGGGCGGTCTGTTGAGCTGGACGGGCGAAAACTATGACAGCCCCGAAGACAGCCTGCCCCAACCACGATAGACTGGATACCAGGCTAGTTCGATACCAGCCGTTAGCGCGTGTACGACATCTAACGGGGACGGAGAGCCTATGGACAAAAATGAGCCGGGGGAGGCATAGGAATAGTAGAATAATAAAATCTTTTTCCAAGACACGAAATGGATCCGTCTTTAAGTACAACCGTTTCAAAGTATTATACCAACACAGATAAACCTTTATGCTAAAAGTTCCATTGGTCTGTAAGGCAATGGAGTAGACGAGTGATAACATGAAAGACAGTCGTGTGACGTACTAATGTGTTGTCTTGTTGCTGTTATTTGAAGTGCTTCACTCACCAGTATCTTGGATGGAAGATCAACGTAGTGGACGTAGGTAATGGAAACACTTCAATCCGCTTATTTATTAATTATTTCTATAACCGCTTTACGCCTACCAAATATCATTTAGATCCATCACAGACTTTTGACTTAGGCTGCATACCAGAAAATTGACTCTCTGTATCGCACAAATGTTAATGCAGCGGACCCTTGTTCTCCCAACCCCTGCCAAAGACAAGGTGTCTGTATGGTGACCGGACCGACCACGTTCATCTGTACCTGTAACCACAGGTACGGCGGGGACGTCTGTCAGTACGGTAGGCGTTATTTTGTCTCGTTAGTGTATCCGACAATGAAAGTGAACCCCGATATTGATTATATATATACACTCATGTTTCGCTGTTCAATGCAAGGCAGAAGGTAATCTCGAAGCAGTTTTCCCGTGGCTGCAAGACAGTATCAAATTGGCAAGACAGCACTAAATTGGCAAGACAGTATCAAATTGGCAAGACAGCACTAAATTGGCAAGACAGTATCAAATTGGCAAGACAGCACTAAATTGGCAAGACAGTATCAAATTGGAAAGTCAATATCAAATTGGCAAGTCAGTATCAAATCAGGAAGTCAGTATCGAATTGGAAAGTCAGTATCAAATTAGTAAGCCAGCATCAAATTGGCAAGTCAGTATCAAAATTGCATGTTAGTATCAAATTGGCAAAACAGTATCAGATTGGCAAGACAGTATCAGATTGGCAAGTTAGTATTAAATTTGCATGTCAGTATCAAGTTGGCAAGTCATCATAAAATTGGCAAGTCCGTATTTAATTAGTAAGTCATTATCAGATTAGCAAGTCAATATCAAATTGGCAAGCCAGTTTCAGATTGGCAAGTCAATATCAAATTGGCAAGTTAGGATCGAATTGGCATGTCAGTATCAAATTAGCAAGTTTGGTGTAACAAGAAAGATAATACCAGTACAAAAAAGAGAGCCTAATAAAGTAACCTAAAAAAACCGGTCAGAAATAAGCCGGAACCTAAACCACTGTTTGGTGGGTGTCATGAAGGAGTGTATGAGGCACGTTCAAAATATGGCCATGTTTTCATGTTTCATGATTTTATATGAACCCGTTTTCATGTTTCATGATTTCATATGAACCCGTTTTCATGTTTTATGATTTTATATGAACCCCTTTGATGATTATAGATTGAAGAACTTAATTGTTTGCCAACCGTGCACGTAAAAATGTATGGCATTAAGCATAGAGGTATTGAATACAACTTACTATTAGTACTAGCAACCTAATTATAAAACAGTACGTCTTTGATAAGTGTTATAATTAAGGGTGGAAAATAATGAGTTTCGGAATTTTTTCTTATAACAAAGCAGTCTTTTATACATAAATTAATCTATTTTTTATATATTGTGAGTTGAGACCGTAGATGTTCATGATCATTTTGCCCCGCATGCTGTTGTTTTTGCTGCAGCCTGTGAGGACTACTTCAGCGGCAGCGAGGCGTCCCGATACGCGGTGTACAACAACAGGTGCTACTGGTTCTCCCCGACTCAGTACCGCAGCAGGAGGAACTACCGGAAAGCCCGGGCGGACTGTGTCTCCCGCAGCAGCGGCCGGGGAGCGACCCTGGCTCTCATTAAGGATGCAGACACCCAGGGCTTTGTGGAGCAGTACCTGAGGACCGTCCGCGCGCAGGGGTAAGATGTAGCCGCCGCTAGTTTCCGTCTCGTAAACGGTCGATGCCATTTGAAACGGTCGATGCCATTTCCCTGAATGGTTGATGCCATATCCGAGCGTAAGTTATGGTATGCTGGGTCCAAAAACGAATAAAAAGTAATATATACTATAAAAGCAATATTCTTATTGCAAATATAATGGAGGGTCATATGGAATTGTAAATATTAGTGAAAAAAAACACAAGCTCGGATTCGAACCCGCGTCCAAAAGTGTTGCTCTGAAACCCCAACCTATACCCTAACCTCTATGCCACGAAACATCACGGTGCGGATGGACCGTGTTGATACAGTTTAAGTTAGCCTTTCTGCGATATGGCATCGACCGTTTCAAATGGCATCGGCCTTTTTTCAAGTGACCTTGTCGAGATCCACGTCTCGGATCTCGGGTGAAGTCTATCAGCCCTGATTGTTTTATTACTGTGTGGCATACACAAATGTGAGAAAAAAATTTTAAAGAACTTTTTGACTGTCGTTTTCCAGGGACTACTGGATCGGTTTGGACGACAGACAGATAGAGGGTCGTTACGTGTGGAATGACGGGACGGTTCTGGGTTACCGGAACTGGGCCAGGACTCCTCGTCGTCGCCGGGGTAAGGACTGCGCAGGCGTCATGGCGTCTGGGAAGTGGGACGTCTATCGGTGTCGTCAGAGGAAGGCGTACATCTGTCAGATGCCGCAAGTGTGTAAGTACAGGGCAGACACCACATTTGCGTTGCGCATTAGAGGCCTCAAAATGGGAACAAGATTGTAGTGCCTAGTTAATCCCTTTGAAGATCCTTTTTTCTCTTCAAAGTTTTGGTCCATTTTGGCGATTTAAACTTTCCTACTTTGGTCAAGTTTTGTTCATTTCACCAGTTTAGTGGGCGTAATGAGATATGTGAGTGGTTAGGTCTTGTCTGGCCAGACGGATAGATACCATGGAAAATTAGGTCATTAGGTGGCGGGAATTTGAGATGGTCAACCCCCTGTTTCCTTTCGATATTTGGGAATCAGACCCTTGTGGCTACCTGGTGCAGAAAAAAAATTGAGAATGAAGTATGGGCAAGTACTTTCGTGAGGACTTCTAATAGTGTATTTAAGCATGTGTTCCTATGGCCAAATCTAATAGTACTGTCTGCCCTACAAAAACCTGCTCCTCGAGCCTCGCGTCACCAAATGAAATTTCAGGTCAGCAATGTTAAACATGTTCTGAATGAGGAAATCAGTTTGACACTGACATTTACTGTCATTTCTTAGCCCATTTGTGTCCGCATTTTTCAACTTAACATTTGAAGCGTTTGAAATAGCGGCAGATTAAACTAGGTGAGGAGCTTGAAGTGCCTTTATTCTTTAGGTACTAATGAATAGATATAACCTGCCTACGAGAAACCGTTTTCCGTCAGCAACATCTGCATTTTTGTCAGACATATCAGTATGCTATGGCAAAGGGAGATGCAATTTGCAACATTGAAAATGACCAAAAAATTGACTTTGAAAATCCAGTTTTCCTACCCTGAAATCGCTTTGAGTGCCTTGAATTTCTAGAGCATTTGTGTGGCTGTTAGTTTGTCTGTCTGGGAAGAGTAGGTTGACAGCACTTGGGGTGAGGGAAGATTGTCAGGCAGAATGACAGAAGGTTAAAGGGTCAGACACAGGAAATGGGATGAACGAGAGGGTTATGAAAAGCGATTAAATAGTTATCAATCGTTAAGCACGTAAGCATGAAATAAGACAGAAAACTGCAAATGATACGCTTCCTCACGCTCTTTTATACAACCTGTTATTGTTTTTCTACAGACACTCAGCGCTAATTCTAATAATATTTCCTCTCCAGGGTAAACTATGCGGTTTCTGAGGAAAATCTGAAAAGACTCAGCAGCAACGGGAGTTTGAAGAACTCTTACCTTCGTAAAATATTTAGAGTATCTCGTATATCTCAATTTTAGTTCATTGGTTATGCAAGAATGAGATTATTGACTAATATTACAAGTGTAATATTATAGATATAGATAGTATAAATACAAATCATTCAACAGTGACATAGGATTTAAGGAAAATATATAGCTTCGAATAATGAGTGCCCTTAGCCAAAACTACTTTTACAACCTCTGAACTCTTATTAATTACTAGTATGTCCTACCTGTGGTTACAATCAGCATGTAGTGATATGTTCATGTAACTTGTGATTTCTATGTTATAATCATTACATTTACTTCTGTATATGTGCATCTGGGGTTATATTTAGAAGACCTATACATATACTTGCAGAACACTGCGCCCATAAAGGTTTTTTAAATTCCGTTTAAATAAACTCTAGTTGCTATTACAATCATAATACTGCTAATGAAATGTACATAATTGCAATATATCGTCATTTTTTTGGAATTTAAGCAGATTTAGAGTTATACATGAACAATTATCATGCAACTGAAATTATTCATCAACAAAGCTTCTTTACAATTTCATTTTTCATGTATTCTTTGTTTTGCCAAAGAACTACATATCGCCACGTTGGTGGTTTTAAATGACCGTGTGGCTACATGGGTAAAAACAAAACATAAGGAACCATCAGAGCTCATATCAGTACATATATAGTAACAGTAAAAGAGCAACGTAACATTATTAAAAGAATCATTAATACTCTTGAATTGATGATAAAGAGAAATAAAGAATCTCACTATGAAATAATTGGAAGCAAAAATATAACGGATGACAGTGACCCATAGCATATGGTTTAATTTCCTCACTTTACCCACTGGTGTAAAATGTGTCATCATCATCATCGTCCGGCTGCGGAGCAGTCGACCACAAGTCTTGCCCACGACTGTCGATCCGCCGCCAGGTTGGCAATGTCCTCTGGCCGCAGGTCACCCTCGGTGTCCCCCAACAGGTTCCGGACGTAGCCCAGGTAGTCGAGTCGCTGGCGCCCTGGGCGCCTTTTGCCGTGCGTCGGTACATACAGGGCATATGTCCGGCATGGTTCCCCCACAGGCATTCTAAGTGCATGTCCCAGGAATCGAAGTTGACGCGTCGACGCTGCCTTACCATGGTGATAAGGGGTCGAGTGTTGGTCAACTTGTAGATCCAAGCGTTGCTCACATGGTCTAGGCGCTTGATGTTAAGCATGACCCTATAGCATGATGTGGCGAACGCGTTTAGCTTATTCTCCATGTCCCCCGTTATGACCCAGGATTCACAGCCATATAGCAGTATTGTCACGCAGGTGGTGTTGAAAAGGTTGAGTTTAGTGGATGTGGAGATTGATGGATTTCTCCAGATCTTCTCCAACTTCCAAAAAGCAGTCCATGCAAGTGATTTCCTCTTAGCCATGTCATGACTGCTAGAGGCCATCATGGACCCCAGATATTTGAAGTTGGAAACATGTCTTATTGGCTGTCCATGTAAAATGTGTACCTGACTTCAGTTGGGGAGATAACAGGCAGTGGAAGGAGAGGGATGGGTTCGGCCTTCCGAAATATGCCCTGAATGCAGTGAACTAAAGGTCGGACATCTCATACCTTCGTCACTGGGATATTGTTCTAGATAAATGAACTTTTTTTAAATCATCAATTCGGTCTATAGTACAGAAGAATCTCTTTACTCCTTTTTTTTATTCTACGGAACACCCTGAAAGGGTTTGCCACAGATTTAAAGACGCACTGTCACCTAGCCGGTTATTTGATTTTGAACCGTTACTGGAAAAGAATATCCCAAAAATCTGCTTACTGTATTATGATCAGAATGTCACTACAGTGTCGCAAAGTGTAATTAGGGAAGCTGTGATGAAAGGAAAGAATCAGAACAAGGCGAGATTTATTACTGTTTTTGTTTGTTGTTACACTATGCTCTTTTATTGAATTTGCGTCCTAACTTTTGTATTTTAACCCTTCATGTATATTATCGTGCTCTCCCATTAAATTTAAGCTCTCCATTGGACGTCTTCCATAAAAATTACTTGGCCTGGCCTTAGGGAATGACCTTACGCATGTCCAACATTTCCTCCTCCCGCAGTAGTTATTGGACAGCCCCAATTGTAAGCAACTGATCCCATTACATTATTATGGACGGCCTCACAAAGATTATTTTTAAGGAAAAACAGTCTGGCGCGGAAAAATGGTTACTGTGCAATTATGATCGTTAGTCACCACCAGCTGTCCCTCCGGTCCTATGGCGATGCCCGTGGGTCTGGGTGTGTTGACGACGGTACGGATAAACTCCCCGCGGCTTGTGAACATGTCTACATTGACTATTGACCATGAATATGCAAACATGGTAGGTCACACGTTAGCTACAGGCTCAGCTGATATAGTAAGTATACCTCAGATCTAAGCGCTGATTGGTCGCAGATCGGATTATTTAGGTCAGGTAGGTATAGCGTTTAACCTCAATTTTTATTAAATGTACCAATAGCATATGTAGGTTTTCTAAAACCTTAACAAAACAGACCTTTATATACTACTAGTTGTGTCTATCTACGGATATATGTATGCAATTGTTTAGAAATATAGTTCATTGCATCTACGTTTAAGACTCGGTCCCTTGGGATATGAATGGTTCCTCCCAAATGTTGGGTCTCTTATTTTGTTAAAGACACCCTAGAGCTGCGACTGAGACCTGGCCGAGTCTTTTCTACCCCAAACCAATAGTTATTGACTTATGGTTAAAGTTAATTCCGGGGACATTCTCGCCAAATCTACGGTCAGTTCAAAATGTCTTTTTTAACAGCTAGCTTAGTATTTGCCCCTACGAGATACTCTGGTCAAAAATTTTGCTCTTAGGCGCTAGTGCATTGGTTAACGCAAATCATACAATTCTATGAAACATTTATGTTTTAATTAAATATGTCTTTCGTAAATGATAATTTTTTTCTTAAGCAGATTGTGGGTCCTGTTGATGATATAATGCAAAACACACAATATCAGGATCATAAAAAAACAGTTTTTTTTTACAAAAACATGGTGTCCGCCATAATTTAAAGGTAAGTTTGTGGTGCCCGAATGTATGCCAAACTATTGTATGGTAGTAAAATTGTATGTGTTAACACCAGTACACACAGAAGCCATTGTGTAACGCACACGTTAGCAAAAGCCAGGCTAGCTGAACTATGAAAAAATAAGTGCCTAAGAGCTTAGCGCTAATTAGTCTGGGTTTAACTGAATGTTCATACGCTGCTTTACCTGCGTAAGCTTTTTTATGGGTTCACCACACCACGAAGTGGTGTGGTGAAACCATATTGCTTTTTCTGATGTTTCTTCTTCTTCTTCTCCTCCTCCTCCTTCTCCTCCTGCCATTTTTTAAATGGATTCAGCTTCTTCATTTTAGGGCCCAAGGTCCTGAAATTTGGTATGGAGGTACAGTGGGCAAATACCCCTAGGCGTTTTTTAAATTATTGTGATACAGGCTTTTAGAATGGTTTTATTTGAGTTTTTTGGCTGTGTTATAGCAAATGTATTACTGTGTTAGGGTGCCTTGTTTACCACGTTTGGACATGAGTCATCACAATGGAATGCAGGGCATCAACCAATAGGCATGCAGCTTTCCTCTATACTTCTTGCTGATTGGCTGTTGGGATTTAACTTGATTAACACCTGCACAGAAGCATTTCCATACTGACAGTATGTCTGTATTCAAGTGTTTTGGTAGGTATTTCAAGCTTTCCTGCTCCAGCAGTGGAATGCCGGGCATGGACGTTTTTTTTTAATTTTGAAAATCAACAGTTTGCATTATGCAATTAAAAATCCTAACCAATAAAGTAGGGAATAGCTATCCAACTGTTGTTTTAGTTGTATTTTACTTCATATTATAGTTATATCAATGTAAATCATTGTTTTCCCTTGTGTTTCCCATTCTTTCCCTGCCATGTCGTAAAATGTGGTGAACCCATCGCTGTATTTGCTCCAAAGCAAATATTGGCCTTTCTAGTTTGTTTTTGTTTTTGCTGTTGCATTCCAAAACATGTTATTCCATCATCTTTAGTACCCCCAAACAACCCCGCAAGGGGTGTCGTTAGGGGGAGAGAGGAGGTCCAGCAAGTGGTACCGTTAGGGGGGGGGGCGGAGAGGAGGTCCGGGTTAAGGCGGGCAGGCCGCCAGCCCGGCCCGGAACGACTCAACATTGGGAGCCATAACTACCGGGCTGCGGGCAAGGAGTTCCACTGTGGAATAGTATGGGGGGAAAATAAGAGAATCTGTAGGAGTCTGTGCGTGTGTCTATGTCTGTAGTTCACCTGTAGTCATTAAGGGCCACCCGGGCGGCCCTGCGCTGGACAGCCTCCACCGTCTATATCCCTTTGATGGTATACGGGTCCCAGACGGTGGCACTATATTCCAAGTGGGGTCGTACCAGCGCTTTATAACAAGTGGCCTTGACCCTAGATGGGCAATGGGCCAAGTTGCGCCGGAAGACCCCCAGAACTCTACCGCCTTTACAAGTGGCGTGGTTGATGGGTGTCCCACCGAAAATCATCGGAGTAGTACTCCAAGGGTGGGATTTGACACCGGTTAGGACCGGTTAGGACGTTGCAAAGAGAGTATTGTGTTTTGATGGGCGTCTTTTACGTGTTATGTGTAGAATTTGACATATACATTTAGAGGGGTTCAACTATATAAGCCAGCAGTTCTGCCATCCCTTTAGAGCGTCAAGGTCAGTGTGTAGGCCTCGAGCATCAGAAAGTTTGGTGATGGTTCGGTAAATCAGGCAGTCGTCGAGGAATAGTCCAACATGTGAATTAACGGATTGGGGTAGGTCATCAATGTACAGTAGGAAGGGCAGTGGGCCTAACACCTTACCCTGCAGAACACCAGAGGCCACATTGACGGTTTTAGATGTTCCACCGTCAAAGACGTCTGGGTTCTCTCCTTAACCCTAAGCCAAGACAAAAAGGAGCCGGAAATGCCGTAGTGCTCGAGCTTACACAGCAAGCGTTCAAGGGGGAAGGTGTCGAAAGCTTTGCTGAAGTCTAGCACCGCGGCGTCGACCTGTTGCTTTTGGTAGATACTTTTAGCCAGGTTTTGGACTGTGAGCAGTAATTGGCTCTCGCAGGACAGACCCTTCCTAAAACCGTGCTGCGCCACTGCGCCGGGAACAGAATGCCATGAGTGTCATGATGTTTCATCATGTGGCTGTGTACGTTCGAGCACTTTGCCACAGACCGACATCAAGGACACCGGTTTATAGTTAGATGGCCCTTTTTTCAAGATTGGAGTGATGTTAGCTGTTCTTCAATCTTTAGGAACATCTCCCGTAGATATTGACTGGGAGAATATTACCTGTAATATAGGCGAAATTTGCACGGCTACAGTCTTCAGGAGGCGGGGTGGTATTCCGTCTGGTCTTGTGGATTTGTTTGGGTTAAGACAGGAGAGCTGTTTGACTACTCCCTCCACCATCATGTTAATGGGAGGGATAGTTGGAGCTGTGGGTTCGCCAAGGGTAGGAAC